GGACACAACATCTTTGTTGGTATGTGGTGCTGAGGATCGAACCCGGGCCGCACGCATGCCAGGCGAGCGCGCTACCGCTTGAGCCACATCCCCAGCCCCTTATTTTTTTATTTTGAGGTAGGGTCTCACTAAGTTGCCAAGAATGACTTTGAACTTGCAATCCTGCCTCAGCCTCCCAAGTCATGGAGATTACAGGCATGAGCCATTGCTCCTGGCTCTGATATACATTAAAAGGAGTTTATCAAGAACTGAAGGATAGCTCAGTTGTAGAGCACTTGCCAAACATTCATGAGTCCCTGGGGTTGATCCTTAGCACCACCATTAAAACAAAACTAAACAAAAACTATCTTCTCATTCTGATTATAATTTTATTTCTTGGTTTGATTCTCTCAAAGGTTAAATTTGTGTGTGTGTGACTGGAGATTAAACCCAGGGCCTTGCACATGATGCCAGGCAAGTTGTCTCCCGCTGAGCTCCGTTCGTACCCCTTTTTAATTTTATTTGAGACAGTGTTTGGCCAGGTTTCTCAGATTTGCCATCCTCCTGCCTCATCCTCCCAAGTAATTTGGATTACAGGCATATTGGTTATGATTTTGTCAAGAGTATCAACTCTTGGATTTATGGATTTGTTCTACTTTTTTCAGTTTTTTTAATATTTATTTTTTAGTTATAGGTGGACACAGTACCTTTATTTTATTTTTATATGGTGCTGAGGATTGAACCCAGTGTCTCATGCATGCTAGGCAAGCACTTCACCTCTGAGCCACAACCCCAGCCCCCTTTTTTCATGTTTAACAAGACTTTCTTTTTTTTTCTTTTTTGGTGCTGGGAATCGAATCCAGAGCCTTGTGCATGCAAGACAAGCAATCTACCAACTGAGCTATAGCCCCAGCCCAACAAGACAATTTTTTTTCCTGCTTGTAAGATTATTCCTTTCTTCTTGTTTTCTTTGGGACCTTCAATAGGATGGCCATACAGATTTCACCAACACGTGATTTATGATCCAAAGGATTTATGAGACCCAAAGGATTTATGAGACCCAAAGGAGCCAGCCATGTGAAGAAACTTTGGGAAAAAGATCTGTTATTTTGCATTAAAGGAACAGAAAGTACTGACACCCTGAGCAAGAACAAACTTAGGAACTGAGTAAGGAGTAGAGTGGCAGTGGGGAGAGTGGTCTGAGATGAATTGAAAAGCATACAGAATAGGTATCCCCAGAATATCAGGAGTGAACATTATGTAGGTCTTTATCCTGAATGAATGAATGAATGAATACTGTCTTTGATATAGCTCGGGTAAATAGGAAATAATTGAATTTCTTAAATTCATTTTGAGACACTTTTTTAAAAAAGTTTTTAATTGTGCTAACAGATGCATAACATAAATTTTATGTTATCTTAATCTCTCTACAAAAGATTTTTTTTTATATACTGAGGATTGAACTTAGGGGTGCTCCACCAATTCCAGCCTTTTTTATTGAAACTGAGTCTCACTAAGTTGCTGATTTTCCTGCCTCAAGTCTCCCAACTTGCTAGGATTAAGGACATGCATCACTATGCCCTGCTAAAATTTTTTAATTGCTTGGGATGTAGTTTAATGGTAGAACACTTGCTAGCAAATGCCAGGCCCTGGGTTCAATCTGTAGCACCATACACACAAAAAATATATATAAAACACAAACAATATATTATATTGCCAGGCTTGATAGCACACACCTACAACCCCAATGACTTGAGAGGCTGAGGCAGGAAGACCAAAAGTTTGAGGCTGGCCTTGGCAACTTGGCAAGACCCTCTCTCAACATAAAATTTGAGGACTGGGGATATAGCTTAGTTGGCAGACTGCTTGTCTCACATACACAAGGCTATGGGTTCAAACCCCAGCACCACAAAAATAAAATAAAATAAAATTTGAAAAGAGGTGAGGATACAGCTCAGTGGTAAAGTGCCCCTGATTTTAACCCCCAGTATCAAAATAAATAAAATAAAATAAATTGTTTGGGGAACTGCTATACTTTTTCCTCCAATGGCTGTATTACTTCACTCTCCACCAACAGTGTACAAGGGTTCCAGTTTCTCCACATCTTTGCCAACATCATAGAATAAGTCTTTTATCTTTTTTTCTCCCATTCCTCTCCTCTGTGTATACATATACAGAGAATACATATGTGTGTATGTATGTATGTATATATAAATATATATGGATGTTTGTATATAAAACTGTCAACAAAAAATAGTCAATATATATTTTTGATTTAGTAAAAACATGCTCATCTGCAAGTGATGGAAATATGAGCAATTTCTATTTTTTCTAGGTATTTTACCAAAGGCATGGATTATATATTGTTTTTGACTATAATCTAAACAAAAAGTCAAGATTTTTTGAAAATAAAAATCTCTGAAAATGGACTACTCTCATGTATTTTTCATCTCTTAGGATTGTTTCAGGTAGTTCCATGGCTCTTTTGCATTATTCAAAGGAAACTTCATATTTGCTACCTCCAAACAATGAGGACTGGGAAGAGAAAGGCATCCCTGATTTTGTCTATGGGCAGAAGGAACTTATAGTGGAAGGCATTCAGTGGCCAAGGAATGCACCCAGCGCCCTGGACATACCAACGAGATTTGACTCTGCCCTCTGTTCTGCCTGGAGGCAGAGGGTGGAGCTAGGGCTCTTTCGCTACCGCCTAGGGGAGTTGCAAACTCAAACCCTCCCTGGTGCTGTGGGTTTTGTGGCTCAGCTAAATGTGGAGCGAGGTGTACAGAGGAGACGTCCTCAGAACATCAAGAGTGTAAGGCAGGCATTTGACCCTGAACAGTTTAACTTCAACAAGATCCGGCCAGGAGAAGTTCTCTTCCGTCTGCACCGGAAGCCCAATGACTGTAGAGCTGTCCAGCAAGAGGACATCCTGGTGATAATCAATGTCAGTCCCCTGGAGTGGGGCCATGTGCTCCTGGTTCCTGAGCCTACTCTGGGGCTACCCCAGCGCCTGCTACCAGGTGTGCTGCGGGCAGGGCTTGAGACTGTGTTGCTGAGCTCTCACCCAGGCTTCAGGGTTGGCTTCAACAGCCTGGGGGGATTGGCTTCAGTGAACCACCTCCACCTGCATGGCTACTACCTGGCCCACAGATTGCCTGTGGAGGGGGCACCAAGTGAGGCTCTAGACCCAGGGGGCCATTTGTATTTGCTCCAGGCCGTACCAGCTCCTGGTTTCCTCTTTTACACTAGTGGGCCAGGGCCTGACTTAGAAGCCTTGATTAGCAGGGTATGTCGGGCCACTGACTACCTCACTGATCATGAAATTGCACATAACTTGTTTGTAACTCGGGGAGCTCCACCTGGAAAGGCGTCAACATCCACAATTCTCACAGGGGTCCGAGTAATTCTGTGGGCCCGGAAGTCCAACTTTGGAATAAAGAAAGGTGAAGCTTTCAATGTTGCCCTCTGTGAACTGGCTGGCCACCTCCCTGTCAAAACATACCAGGACTTCAGTAGCCTGACAGAGGAGGCTGCCCTGGCCCTCATTCAGGACTGTCTGCTGCCTCCAGCCCAAGCAGATGAGATACAGGAAGCACTGGTAGCCTTGATGGCCCAGGAAGAGCTATGATCCTTCTGGAGGTATTTATTTGCTAACTGACTGAATCCCTTTCCATTCATAGTCATTCATTGTCGTAGTCATCTGGTCATTTATTTTTATGATTGCTTTCCTACTTCTCTCAGCCTAAGGGGAAGAATAAAGAAAGAACTGATGACTGGTCTTGGTGAAGGAGAGAAACCTTGGAATAAATTGAATCAGCATGTTCTCCTGGTTATATCTGCTGTTTTTCACCTTTCTTCCTGTTCTCACCTTCTCTGTTTGTTCCTCCTTTGCTCACTGTTTTGTTGTTGCTGCTGTATGTTTTTTTTGTTTTGAGACTGGCTCTCCCTATGTTATTCAGGCTGTCCTCAAATTCCTGAACTGTTGAGCTCAAGTGATTTTCCTGCCTCAGCCTCCCAAATAGCTGGGATTACAGATGAATGCCACCATACCTGACTGCAGCTCAGGCAGTCAGATACCAGAATCTGAGCTGGGACAATGTGCATTTGTGATTCTCTCTACCATTTCTTTTCTTTTCTTTCCCTCCCTCCCTCCCTTCCTTCCTTTTTCTATTCCATCACTTATTTTTATTTCTTCATCCTTCTCTTGAATTTGTTCCTGCTTCTCCATCAAGATGCCCTACTTCTTCATCTCCCTAAAAATTCATCTTGAATTTTCCTCCCGTACCCAACATAGAGTTGAATGGTCTTTCACATTATCTCTTGTGAAAACAGGGTGTACTCATAACATTAAAGATGCAGGTCCTCTTACTATTTCCATTTAATAAATGAAGAAAGGGAAGTTGACAGATTGTCACTTATCCAAGGTCAGCCAGATAACACATGGGATTTGAACTGCAGCTCAGGCAGTCAGATGCCAGAATCTGAGCTGGGACAATGTGCATTTGTGATTCTCTCTCCAGTCAGCAATGCCCATAAAGTCATAAAGTATAATGCTGCCCTTAAAATTTTATGGCCTTCTGGAGTCTTTCTCTGGCATTTCACAAGCTCCACATGATGTAGGCTTCTTGAAAAATCCAGAGCTAAGTCTTTACTTCTCTATCTGTATCTGAGTCAATGTAAGATTTTGTATTTGTTTGTGATACTGGCCATTGAACCCAGGGCCTTGTACATGCTAGGCAAGTACTCTACCCTATAGCTAAGCTATATCCCCAGCGCTTTTTAAATTTTATTTTGAGACAGGATCTCAGTATACTGTCCAGGCTGACCTCAAACTTGTGATCCTCCTGCCTTAGCCTCCCAAGTAGCTGGGATTACAGGCATGTACCACCATACCACCATACCCAGCTGTGGAAATTTTTGAAAAATGAATGCTTTGTCCTGTTCCGTTACTCCAGTGATCTCCACACTGATTCCAGAGGAACCAGTCAAAAGGTACTACTGTAGGGCTGGGGTTGGAGCTCAGTGGTAGAGCACTTGCCTGACATGTATGAGACACTGGGTTCAATTCTCAGCACTACAAATAAATAAATAAATAAATAAATAAATAAATAAATAAATAAAGGTCCATCAACAACTAAAACATATGTATACATACAAAAAATTTTTTAAAGGGTATAATTGTTAGAGAGTTATATATAAAAAGCCATTTTTCCTTGTGCTTCCTTGATTCTTGTATAGCAAAAGTAACCCCAAAAAGGAAGAAAGAAAAGAAAAAAATCCTGAGTTTAGTTTTCAATAGGGATGATCACTGCCACTACTGTTTTCAATAGGGATGATCACTGCCACTTATTTATTTTGTGGGGATTGAATCCAAGGGTGCTTTACCATTGAGCTCCATCCTCAGCCCTTTTTATTTTTTGAGTCAGGATCTCACTAAATTGCTGGGGCTGGCCTGCAATCCTCCTGCCTCAGCCCCAGCCACTGGGATTTCAGATGTGCACAACCATGCCCAGTCCACTGCCACTACTCTTACCCCAAACCTCCTGAAAGAATGGGAGTTCCTACTCACAGTGTAGGAGTCAGGGGGGCCTTCAGAGTAAGGTGCCACCAGCTAGCTGGAAGAGTTCTCCCAGCAGAGGTTTGGGCTCCTCTGTCTTCTATTGTGTCGGCACAGCTTTGGCTGTGGCTTAGGCCCATAGGTACTTGGCTCCCTATGCCCAGGCCTGTATAAAGCTTTATCGTAGAATTTTTTTTTTTAAGAGAGAGAGAGAGAGAAAATTTTTTAATGTTTATTTTTTAGTTTTTTAGCGGACACAATATCTTTGTATGTGGTGCTGAGGAGTGAACCTGGACTACACTCATGCCAGGCGAGTGGGCTACCAGTTGAGCCACATCCCCAGCCCTATCATAGAATTTTAATTGGAAATTTTATATCACAAAATAAGTTACAGTCTCATTGAGATAAAGCAGACTATGCACCCATAACCTATATTATAAGAAAAACAATTAAGCATTTTTACATTCTCTCAAATTTTTGACTACCCTCATGTTTTTGGCAAATGGCAGTAATTTTAACCTTTTTCTGAGAGCTTTTGCATATACAAGCTCAATATGCTTGCTTTTCCTTGCTTGCTCCCCAAAGGGAATGCATGAGATGATATTACAGCTAAGTAGATTTTGTGTCCAAGGTGATGAGCCAAATATCTGGATTTCTCCAGTTTGTCCCTGGGACTTCCCTGACCCAAATGAGTTTTTCTATAAAGCGGGGAAGGGTAAAGTCAAATAGGTTTTCTTTATGATAGTGTTTCTCAGCTGTTTATGCTTTAGGAATTGTTTAAAGTTTTGTTGTTGTTGCTTTAGGAATCTTTAAGAAGGTGGGCCAGAGATATGGCTCAGTAGTAGAGCACTTGCCTAGCATGCGTGAGGCACTGGCTTTGATCCCTGGAATCACATAAAAATAAATAAAATAAAGATACATCTACAATTAAAAATTTTTTTAAAAGAAAGGAATTTTACCTGAAGCTTTGTCTCAGCCGGAATATGGAATATATAGGCTCTTTGTACTCAGAGCCATGATAGGAAGTGCTGATCCAAACAGGGCCTCTCCACATTTTTGCCTCTTGATTCAGGACCTCAAATGCTAAGGGCCTATGGATTTGATCTAATGGGAAACCTTGAAGAGTACTAAATGGTGTAGTAACAGATTTGCATTTTAGGAAAAATACTCAAGCTGCAGATGTAAAGTGGTGGGAATATAAGGTTGGGGGCTAATTCTATAAACTAGGTCCACTGTGCTGACCCCCACATGCTTTCTTCTAAAAAGCAATTTACCTGGCTTAAGTCAGGATATGTTACACCTCAGCAAACAACCTATTATCTGAAGAAGAAATGCAGGGTAACAGAAGTTAACCCTAAAGTCGGGGGACTTCTGTGACTTATATAGGCCAGATCCCAGAATTCAGGAAGATAAGGACAATTCCCCCTAACTCTAAAACCCGTAAGAACAAGTTCTAGTTAGAACCAGTCAGCATGGGCCAAATGCCCTGGACCTTTACTATACCCAGTTGGGACTTGGAAGTTTGATGTGATTGTGCTGTCAGTCAAATGTCAAGAGGTGTCAGGAGCAGTGGCACACGTCTGTAATCCCAGTGGCTTGGGAGGCTGAGGCAAGAGGATTGCAAGTTCAAAGTCAGCCTCAGCAACTCATTGAGGCACTAAGCAACTCAGTGAGACCCTGTCTGTAAATAAAAATTTAAAAAAGCACCCCTGGTTCAATCCCCATTACCCCCCCCCAAAAAAAAATCAAGATGTGTTGGGCTGGGGTTGTGGCTCACTGGTAGAGTGCTTGCCTAGATGTGTGAGGCACTGGGTTCAATTCTTAGCACCACATATAAATTAACAAATAAATAAAGGTCCATCAACAACTAAAAAAAATATTTTTAAAAAAAAGTCAAGAGGTGGACCTGGGGTGGGACTCTCCAGAAAACTCCCTGGGACCCCCCCCCCCCGGAGGGCAAGAGAGGGGTACCATCCTTCTCCCCTCTGAGAGGACCCCCTCTCACGCTTGAGAATGTTCCCTTTTCCTGTGAACTCAAGTCTGCCTCACTGAATGACACGTCTGAAATCTTTCTGATCACAAGAACTGCTAGTAGAGGACTGTTGTAGCTATCTCAGCTCTGCAGTAGGCGGTGCTCTGTAACAAGGAGGATAAATGAAGAATAGTCAAAGAATTCAATGAAGAGTTTGCTGAATGACAGTGATTCAGGCAACAAATGAAGATGGACCAGATCCTAGGACAGTGCTTGTAACGCTGAATATTTGTTGACAAAATGAGAAAAACTAGAAACAAGGGACTTCAGAGTATTTCAAGGAGATCTTATATAAAGTCAAGCCCCACCTCTTGACTTTTTTAAAAAAATATTTTTAGTTGTAGGTGGTCACAATTCCTTTATTTTGTTAAGTTTTTTAATGTGGTGCTGGGGATATATATATATATATATATATATATATATATATATATATATATATAATCATGTTGAAGAAAGATCAAGAAATCTATGAATTTTAAAAATGTCCATGTAGAGCTGGGGGTATAGCTCAGTGATAGAGTACTGGCCTAGCATATGCAAGGTCCGGGGTTCCATCCACAGCACCAAAAATGATACAAAAACAAACAGAAAAACAGAAGTCCAATCCTCCTAAAGGATGGAAAATTTTAAAGTGTCTTCTGGATTTAGCCCACAGGATAATCTGAGTGACAAGTTGGGCTAAGTTTGGTGGAGATGGCTAGCAGAAGTCAAAGTGGGAGGGTGTGGGGGAAAAGAGGCCACAGTGACAGAACAATGTCATGAAGCAGTTCCGTTATTCCTTAATGGAGCTGTCTTAGCCCATGTCTTAGCTGAAAGCGCTGGAAGACATGTGTCTTAATCAGAGCTTTCCTAGAGGGCAAAGACTGTTCACTGCATGGTTTCGGAAAAAAACCGAAGAAAAGAGAGCAGCTATTCGTCCCCAACGCAGACTTGATTTCTGCGTTCAAGAAAAGATGGGAGTGGGGAGGTGCGAAGTTGTGCCAAATCAGGAGAACTACAAGTCCCATGATAAACGGGCGGGGCGGGTCCTCCTGTGCCGGGACCCGCCGCTCTTCCGCTTCCAGCTGTAAGCAAACGTTGCCCGGGCCAAGATGGCCTCAGCCGGCGCCCGGGTGGGTGTGGTCCGCGGAAGGACCCGCCCCCGAAACGCTTGTGCAATGGGAAACGCCCTCGTATCCATGGCGACCGCGGCGGCGGCGGCCGTCGGCTAGCTAAAAAAGGCGC